CAAAAGTAATGTGCTCGAGTACAGCCCTGTACCGGGAGACTGTGCACGATAATTATTACTGCCTATAGGCTCCCCTCATTGGTTCTGAAGAACCCACCCAGTTTGGCAGGCTACCGGTTTTTCTGAGTAGCCATTCTTGCACCAGTCGGAGTATTTCACGTCCAGATATTTCGAGCATGTGTTGGAATGATTGTGACGGGCAGAGACTTTTTTGCCCCAAAAAAATATTCACTTGCTGTCACTCGAATTTCCTGATATGGCTTAGCGCACATATATAAGTTGCCACACCCTGTGGTGGGGTTGGGCAGGATTTTTTATCAACCCCCTATCATAGTACAGTAGCGTGTCACCAATCACCAGCATCAACGAGGCAATGAACGCATTGCTACGGTAGCCTGGAGCATCGCTCCAAGCGACACGATAGTCTACCGCCCGAGATCGGCATACACTTGCACTCGTGGAGCTCCCGCAATCCCCTAAATTTAATGTTAAATTATCACAATACGGTAGACCAGCAGACGGTCTCGTTTGCCACCCGGACAGATGCTCATTGGTAGGTTCGTATGAGGAAACGGGCGGTTATCAGCACAGTTCACCCAAGTAACTTACCGTACTCGTAAACCCCCGAAAAGTCTCTTGTTTGGGTTTAAGTTAGCTATCTAGATGAGGGGGACCAACGATTAAAAAGTACCTGTTCGTTAAGCCACTAACTGTTGCCTCCCCTCCCCCCCCCCTATGTTACCATACCATGCCATAAAAGCTTAGATGGGGCCGTGTGCTAAATTATATAGCATCTAGGTCTAGTGCTGTTAACTACCACATAGGTCACCCTGCGAAAAATCTCTATTGGGTTCTCCAGGGGCCATGCACCACCCATATCTCATAATATCATATCCCTCATGCCCACCGTTCGTGATTTGCGAAAAGACTACGGTACTGTACAATAGCACACAGCTCAACCCTTTAAGTTTCTACGGTATCATATATACAGTCCCCGCCCCAGCTACCCCCGGATCTCAATAACCTGGATACCTGTGCCGTATGAATCTCTACGAGTTCTCATCAGACCCATGTGACTGTTATCCATAGGCCTCGCTCGTACCCAACTTAATCCACATCTTATTCTGATCTCTCAGCGTGAAAACGCAGTCTCCATACTGTAGTATAATAGCTTCACTTTGGCTCACACCAAGACTGTCGAATATTGAAATTCACCTGGTAGATATTGATAACTTCCTTTTATCGGTTTATTCATTTCATTTTTTTCATTTTTTTCATTTTTTTTTTTTTTAAGCCTATCTTCTAATCTTCTAATCTTCTAATATGTACTGAGCAGTCTAATCAGATGTGCGTAATCAGCTCCATCTCGTCAGACGATCTGATGATCTGATATCCCGTGATGACATGTACCACAACAGTATTTGCCATCACAACAGGATTTTGCTTGTTCTCCCTCAGACTTTCAACATTCACAACGCGCTCGAGCGTAGATCGAGGGGATGCTAGTTCGGCATGTACTGTACAGTACCATACATCATGTTTTTCGTGATTACGTTTGTAAAAACAGCATAGAATCTGATAGTCTATTTCCAACCACCCAAAAACCAGCCAATTCCAAGGGATAAAATACATGCCAAGACAGCCAATTTGTTTGGGACATGACACAGCGACAAAGTCAGCCAGCTTCATGTCTCTGCGTCAGTATCTAGGACCGCCAACAGAAATCGAGAAAAACTAATGATGCTAAACTCCCTGTGGATGCCCTTCGTATTGTCACTGTTTGGAGGAGGACGGTATGTTGTGGTTATTTCTGGTACGGTTAGCTCGTTGAAAAAGCCTTGGGGCACCGCCCACATTTGGCACCGGATCTGTGGTAGCGAAAGACACAAAAAGTCTTTCCCCGTTGACAATGTACCGGTAGCTGGACCTCTGTGTTGTTGGACACTGCATGAATCCTAAAGGATGAGGGTCTAGGGGTAAGTGATGGGAACGCACGTGATCTATCTTCCGATCACTTCTTTCCTCACATAGTGTGACTGCTCCCAGACACCCTCGTACTGTGATAGAGTACGGTACGATAGCTAGACGGTCCCCGTTAGAACTATTCGGTATGGTCATAAAGGGCAGAAAAAAGGATCGGCAAGATCCTATGGGGCAGAGGGGCAACTGGCAGGGGTTGAGCATAGGTGAGGCGAACTGGAGTCTATAGTAGTATGATAACTGGTAAAAAAATTTGGCGTGCGCAACCATAGAAAGGGCCAATCTTGGCCAATCCTGGCTCTTTTTTTTTTTTTTTTTGGAGGGGGAAAAAATCAGGCGAATCAAAAAAATTCCGATCCCGAAACCTGAATGAAATTTTGCTCTCTCATCGGCCGAATGACCTAGGAGCTGATGAGAACGGGTTCGTCCCGCTTGCCCTTCCACTTACCCTTAACCTCCGGTACTCATATAATAGCCCATCATCTATACTAATATCATTGGGTATCATACCCCTACAAACGTAACAAAAACATGATCACATGACTATGGTTTGTCAGCACATATCAACAAAAAATAAAAATAAAAGTAAAAGTAAAAAATATAACAAGATGATAATTATTATCATAAAATAATAAATGCTAGAAAAACTTTACTCCTTTATAGAAAGAGTTGTATAAATATAAAATCTAAACTGAGCTACAAGTAGGATAATAGTATATATAAATATATAATATTATAGTATTATAAAAAGATTGCAGTCAAAGTTAAAGATAAAAATATGGCTGTAAAGTTAGGTTTAGCCTTCAGATTATGAATAATAGCTATAAGGGAGCTGCGGTTATAACCCTCAATGAATACAAAATAGTATTATAATTATTATAGAAGAACTTGACAAGTCAATACTAATGTGATTGGAGTTAAAATGTATAAAGATAGAAATAGTAGAAATGACATGATGATAACTTAACAATTACAAGTATAGCAAAGAATGAGAATGAGAAGTTGAAACTACATCACGACTATTATAAAAAATACTCAATTAATAGCTATTACAAGACTGTTTAGATTGTGGTTCACATTTTAAATGTCTCTTTATATATCCTGTTATTGTATGTAAATTTTGAAAATTAAATTTAATTGTTCAAGTATACAAAATCTAAAATAAAGTATAAACCAATAGTATAGTTAAAATATTTTGATTCATTAAATAGTTATTTGAAGGCTCCTTAGGTGGCTAACATTTCAAATGCGCCTTTTGAAATCCTGTTGTAGTATATCAGATTTTGTGAATTGTGTTCTAATTTTACAAGTATATGAAGTGTAGTATATAGTATAAACTAATAATTAAAATCTTCTTTATTAAATGGAGAGTGGATTATGAAAGTTATCATAAAGATAATACTTTTGGCTATTACAGTTTACAAGAAACAGTATTTGAAATATGATACCGGGTGTCTTGAAAAGTCGCAGTTAGATGGATGGTGCGTCGAATGCGCAACTAAACCTTGGGGATTGTTGTGACCGTGACCCTTGACTAGACTGGATCATATCGTAGTGATGAATTGACTCGCAGATGTGTTGTGTAACTTGAAAGATGAGAGGAAGTATCATAAAAAGAGGTGAAGCACGAGGACATGATTGGCCAACATCATAATGTTATCGCCGCTTCCTATGATAATAATTATTATCATAATATTATTATAAAACAACCCCTCTCCTGAGCCGTCGGTGTATCCTGGGTTTATCCAACCAATTTCCCAGATGCATCATATCACATCACTCGCCAGCTCAAAACTACCCTCCGCTAAACTGGTCCCAGTATGATACCGTACTTTCCAGGGCGATCTCGCCTTTTACCCAGAGATGTGAACTCCGGAAGTCCCAGCGTGGGGCTCAATTATCCCGGTTCTCGAGGTATGATGCTCCACTATACTCGAGTTCACGGAGCTCAAGTCACGATCTCACCACAGACACGGAGCTGGATAGGAGACTACACATCTCGACAACCTCGGACATCAGAAGAAATCATAGCGAGCCCCTCCCTTCTTCCACCACCCATCACAAAAAAAAAAAGAAAGAAAGAAAACACCCCGCCATGACTACGACGAAATATGGCGCTAGAGAAACACTATCATAATTATGATACCGGAAACCTTTTTCGTCCCCCCCCCCAAAAAAATTAGGTCTTGGCACCAAATTTGCACAGCCACATGTGACACCGTCCTGTACCGACCAGATGAAGCCACACCGGTCACAATCACGCCCAAGCACTCGAAGAGAAAGGAAACCCCAAAAAGAATATGATACGGTATCATACATCCCTGATAACCCATCCTCATTGGCGATCTGCCATATCGGAGCTCACCCGAACACTTGGCGTTCATTACAGATGTGGGAGCGTCTTCCTTTACATGATTAGCCCACCTCTCGCTTTCTCTTCGATCCGAGTGTACCGTACGACTGCATCCCGGCCGCACGAGTGTAGGAGGAGGTAAGCACTTTGGAACAGGACTCACGGAACCTAGCATTAGCGCCACGGATAAGTATTCCGGATCGGTTTTCGATTCGTCCACCGGATTCCCGGGCGCGATAACCAAGAAATCTTCAAAACCCACTCCCAGTATCTGCAAAGGGTTCGTGCATATGACTGGGCGCCAGGATTCTAAAGATGTAATATCATGATACTATACTATACTACACACTATCTACCCTAAACACTCTACAACAACAGCCAAGCTAAACTAAAGTGAGGGAACATGAATATTTACATCAGATAACACTGTAGCTTCCGTCTGAGTTTGCTGAAATAGAAGGAAGAAATAATTAAATAAATAAATATGTATCGAAGGGTGTGGCTGGAGCAGGAGAGAGTGGAACGCCGCGTATGCACAGACCAATCAAGACGGTGCAGGAGAGGGGCGCGCGCGGGGGGGGGGTATAAAGTACTTTACAGTATAAATCCGATAACAGAACCCGACAAACGAACGGAATATAAACCAGGAGAGTGTATACCACCGTTGCCCCCCCCCGGCTGCACCTTTACGTGCCATGCCCACCCACTCACCGCAGATTCGGAGACTACTATATATGCGAAAATGAGAAAGAAGATTCCCTAGGCGAGCAAAGATACGAATGGAATTGAGCAACAAAAAACCCCCCAAGAAGTGATAAAAATAAGGGAGAGGGCCGAGAGTAGAAAAGGCAGTAGGATATGATAAACGCTTCACGTAGGAAAAATAAAGATATGCCCGAATGATGAATGATGAATGATCACAAGGTAGCTCAAAAGAGGCCTGTTTTTGTTAGAAATGTGGTTGACAGAACGGTGAAGAGAACTGAGAAGAGGTCTCAAGGCCCTTAAGAAATAACGAAGAGTAGAAAAAAAGCATAAAACCCCTAGCAATAAAACGAGAAATGGTTTTTTGGAGTGGAAAACAACCAGTTCAAGAGAGGAAGAGGAAAAGAAAAAGCAACAAACCCCTTTTAGCAAAAAAACAGATGAGAGGTTAGAAAAGGCTTTTCCCCAATCAATTAGAAGCGAAAATGTCAAGAGCAAACACAGAACAAAAGAAGAGCGTGAGCACGTGAAAACCCGGGAAACCCAATTCCATGACCACAAAGAAAAAGTAGAAGAAAATCGTTAAGATAATGATAGAAGGAAAACCCGTAACTGTTAATCCGACAGAAAAACTAACTTCTTCAAAGGGTAAAAGAACATGAACAATGACCCAAACCTCCCACGGCAACACATTCCCCACCTCCCCATCTCTCCATCCATATCTTTAAAAGCTTTCAAACACATCAATCATGTCCAACAAAAAGAAAATTAAAACTCTCCTGTCCCCAATACATTTACTTATGATCAAGCAAAGTGTATAGCTATAACACTCCCACAAAACCGCTGGAATTTTTGACGATTGGGCACTCGTGACCCGCAGCACTCAACATGGTATGGCCGAAACAGTTACTGTTGGTATGCTCCAAACCCATTGCTCCCGAATGCACCGGCAGAGTTTCCACCCCATCCACCTGGAGTTCCGGTACCATTGCCGCGACCATATCCACCGGCGCTCTGAGGCATCCCACCATAAGCAGTCTGGTTCTGCGGTCCTCCAAAGCCCTGAGACTGATCCTGCCATCTTCCAGGCGGCGATGGCCCGGCCGGAGATTGGGGGCCATGGCCCTGGAGTGCATTAGGCCCTCCAGCAGAATTGGGTGGCCCTTGAGGTGTCATCGGACCACCGTACTGCGGGAAGTAGGCGGATGGTGTTTGGGGAGGATATTGAGGAGTGTTGGGCTGTTGGGGAGAATAGGCATCGAATTGACCGGTTGGCGGACGATCCTTGCCCCACTGCGAAATACTGTAAGTACAATACCAAAACAAGAAAAAATCCTAGCACAGGGTATACATACGCTGCACTTCAACGGTCTCCCATTCACGTTGTAGCCCGAAAGTTGACAAATCGCCATAGCCGCATTTTCGTGAGTGTCCATCTTGACAAATGCAAATCCCCGATCAGCCTGGAAACGGGTTTCAACAACGTAACCGAAATTCTGGAACAAAGGGACCAAATCGTTTTGGGTGGTGTACGGGGTTAGATTTCCAACATAGCATGTTGTCTGCCATTGGGGGGTCTGTTGAACAATCATGTCATAGCTTTGGACCCCATGGGTGGGGAAGTTGTGATGTCCATAGGGGGTGGTTGGAGTCATTCCCATAGCAGCCATGGCAGCCTGCTGGGAGATTGAGGGTTGGCCCTTCTGATTCGCCCAGTTACAACGGATTGCACGAGACCCAAGCCATTCCCCATCCATGCTACTAAGAGCTTTCTCTGCGTCTGCGCGATCACGAAACGCGACAAATCCATAGCCCCTGGAACGACCAGTCTTCATATCCCACATGACACGGGCTTCCGAGACCGACCCAAAAGTAGAAAATGCTTGCATCAAAACCTCATCGTTCACCTCATTGGACAAGTCACCAACGAAAATATGAAAGTGATTAGTGGTGTCCTCCTTGCTAGACTGATTAGACTGATAAGCCCAATTAACCCTAATTTCCTGATAGTCGGGGGGAACGGTCAGATCTCCAATGTTAAGGTGCAATAGGCACTGGTCTCTTACAGCCTGATGAATTCTTCTTCCATTCAGGGTTTGCATGGCACGTTCGGCTGCGCCGGGGTCATCATATTCAATGAAACCATAATTATACCCCTTGCTCTGGTTCACCAGGATCAGAAAGTGCTCTTTGTAAAGGGGGGGGGGAAGCTAGGGAAAAATCAAATCACATAGGGTTCATGAGGGGAGGTGGTGGGGAGGGTTAAGGGTATGCGAACATTTTTATCAGGGATGATCTTGACGTTCTGGACGTGACCAGTGGTCTCGAAGATCTGCTTGAGAATCTCTTCCGTAACCCGAGGGTCCAAGCCACCAACATAAAGAGCCCGCTTGTTAGGCTCAGGGGCCGCACGACGAACAAAACCTCCCGCGGAAGTGGGAGAGGTCACACCGGAAACCGACATAGGCGAAGTGATAGCCGTCGGAATGGGGTTAGTGTTCTGGGGAATGATAACGGGAGGAAGTGGCGGAGGCGGCATGTGGCTCGACTGTCCCTGGTTCTGGCCAGGGGCAGAAGCCGAAGGAGCCGGGGCGGGGATCGAGGAGGACCCAGCGGGCGGGGCGTTCTGATTATCAGCGGACATGTTGGAGAAATGAATCTTGACTGATTTCAAGTGGCAACGAGATTCCACAAATTTTCTTCCTTTCTTTTTTGTTTTTTTTGTTTTTTCTCTCTCAAACGCGTTGAACGGGAAAAAAGGAAATCAAAAAAGTTTATTTTGACCTTTGGATCTTGAGCTTGATTTTCTTGGGCGACAAAGTAAACCGAGGAAAGCCAGAAAGGAAACCCCGAAAAACCACGATGAAGAAAGAGAAAACGGCGAAGAGGTGTACGACTGAAGCTGAGAGATACACGCGTGCGAAGCGAGCTCGCGAGTGGTAGATGGAGAGACGAGTAAGATAGAGAGACTGATGATAGGAGAGGAATTTGGAGACAATTGAACAGGTCGCCTGAACCGAGGAAGGGAACACGAGAGAGACTTAACACACAGACAAACCAGGACCACCTCTTTCAAAGACAAAGAGATGAAAGGGAAGGAAGGTCACAAGTGAGAACAATGGAGACGAAGGAACCGAAAATTGAGGACCAGAGAGAGGAAAACAAACGACGAGTTTAATCCAGTCCAAGCGGGCCGAGAGGAAAAAAATGGAAGGAAACCGAGAGTAGAGGGTGGTGTTGCAAGGAAAAAAGTGACGATGGAAAGGAAGATGGAGGGGGAGGAGAGAAAGAGAGGTAAAGTAAAAGGTAGGTGTAGGTAGAGTGGAGAAGGAGTGAGAGAGAGAGGGGAAGGAAACGGAGGGGGGGGAAGAATAAAACAGCGATGGGGCGGCGTGGACGGGGGCGGTTGAATGGTGGGAGCGAGGGAAGAAAAAGAAAATACAGCAGTGAGAGAGTTGCAAGCGAGTGAGACTCGCAACTTTAGTGTGGGTGTGTGAGAATTTGCACGCCAAGCCGGGCAGTAAAAGTTGTAGGAAATCTTCTGGTTGGCGGAAAACTGGGGAGGGAAAGAGGAAAAAAAAAAAGGAAAAAAACCAGTTGGTGGGTGTGCTGTGGGTGTGGGGGAAATAAAGAGGGAGGGAAAAACGGTGTGTGGATGGAGACCTTCCGGCCTAACCCACACAACTCGACAATCCACGGAAGAAGCAATTTGATTGTGAGGAAAGGGAACACCTTTAGCCCACCTGTCTTCTTGCAATACGGGCCAGCACGATATTGCTGCTTTTATGGTACCGATACTTCCCATACCAACGCTACTTGGATACAAGTCACTTTTCATCACTTCAATATCGTTTACACGGCAGGTAGCGGGAGACGAGAACAGATCAAAGTGGTACAAAGTGCAATAACAAGTTACACCTTTGGTTTAAGAGGACATACCTCAATCCTGGAATGCACAGTATCTGCCTTGTAAATGTTGGGCCGCAACCGCAGCGGGGCATCGACAAGCCAAATCACAATCGCAGAATTAACGCCGGCCCGGCATACCCATTGAAGGAAGAATAGAGAAGAAAAAAGGCGTTCATCATCTACAGTACCGGTACCAAGTTCAATGGAGGAAAAGACATCAATTCCTCCTCCTGTCTCAAATTCCAATATGTCGGCAGTCCACCTCCCCACTACCTACCGCCTTGGAAGGAGAAAACATACACATAGTACTGTATCTCACACATACGGCACGAGCACTCACTGCTTCTTCTTTTCGTATTTGCACCGGTAGCCCCATGCTATCACTCCCAAGAGTAATTCCGCCCAAGAAGGGTAGTTCAAGTTTTGAATCATTCCTATGACAGGCGCTTGTGGTACCGGTACTAGTACTCGTATAGTTGTTCAATTGATGTCTTTCTCTCTTTTTTCCTCCCCCTCCTGCTTTGGCTGCTATCCCTTTCTCCTTTGTCCGACGTCTCCCTTGGGTGAAAACAAAAGGGAGGGAAAAACCTCGTGTGCATGAGCGGGCACGGTACTGTACAGTACGTCACGGGACTTGCAGAGCATGCGATGTTGATGGGTTACCAGTATGCGAGGTGGTCGATGCTTGCTTGCTTGCTTATATTATGGAGTACGGTAGTTAATTGTTGGAGCAGGCAGGCAGGGACCGTTGTAGTGTTTCTCTTTCTTTTTTTTCTTTTTCTTTTGTGCCCTGTTAATGATGACGATGGATGAGGTTGGTGAATGTTTACTCGAGTAGATGGGGGTGCGGGGAAATAAATCACCGACAGTCTTCAAGATAGGCTAATTTAAGCTAAACGCGGGGGAATCGAGTTGCTCGCTTGAGCTTTGACGAAGTGTTTTTATCTGAACAGTGAAAGCTTATGGTGAAATCAAAAATTGATGCTGAAATGCGTGCTGATCATCCAAATACCGGTACCGTAGCTTACCAGACTTGTCCCAAGAATTGGGGAATAAATGAACGGACAACAGATAAAGTACTGCACGAGTACAAAACCGAATTGCAGACCACCTGGCAAGGAGGCCAGCGCCCCCGAGAACGCCAGGACTGCAGAAGAAGAAGGAAAGAAAGTCAGTGCCCCCCCACCAACCTTGCGGAAAAACATGCTTTAGGAAGATCTTATCTTTTTTACTTGTTTCAGCCCTGTGAAAGCATCTCTCTACCGCCAGCCGCATCAAAGGGGATCACAATATCATTGGAAGACGCCGAAACACTCGGGCACATTGAATGCGAATGCGGTACCGGTAACTTACCGTAGGTGTTCCATTACTGCATGAATAAATTGTCGCTCTTTTGCCAGCAATAACTTAAATACACCACCGGCACCGTGCCCTTCACGGGCCCTACCTATTTCTCCAGCAGCCACCGAATACGGTAGTGTATGATAACCTTACTAGGTGCTGTACCGGTACTCCAGCATGGTAGAGCCACGAAAAACCGTCAGGGTTGAAAACCCCAACAAGGAACAGAAGCCCTGTGAGCCTACTCATCTCCCGTCTTGTGAACGAGAGAATGTTGAGACGCCCCTTTCGGTGCCTGAGACACAGATTAATAAGATTAATAAGCAACATTTGTATCATGCTCGAGTACAAACTTCGGACCACAGCGGCCCCAGTCGCTGCATATTCTTACTCGTGCCTATGCTCGAGTAATTCTTGCACTGAAGAACACTCGTATCATCACCGGAGACAAAGAAAAAGAAAAAGAGAAAAAATTTTGTGATTTCAATCCGGCGATATGAGTACGGTACCATTGTGCACTTACCGGTACTGTAGATGGTCCAAAGACACCCTGCGTTACGCCCAACTTGGTCGACAATTATCGTGACGCGGGTGATAAGTATCCATCATACATTCTGTGCCCTTTTGTACGAGTACTGTATAATGTCACCATTGGGGGGGAACACTCTCCCGTGCCACCATAGTCTCTGCTGAGCACCTTACCTACCATACTGGTACTCGTACTCGTGTCTCCGCGCCAAGAATTGGTATCATACCGTTTTTGTAACGGCGGTAGTTATAATTGTACCTGTGCACTAGGAGACCCCTCTGATTGCTCTGGCACCGAGGGGTCCAAAATATAGGACGGAGATCTATCGGCCGTGTCATGAAAATTGTCAATGTAGTGCTAGACTAATAACTCATAGACTCATCGGAAATGGCAAGCAGGTCCCCGTCCTTGGCTTGGAGACGCGATCAGCGAGCGGGCAATATATCATACCAGTGTCGGTATTGCTACATAGCTCCTCTTCCCCGTTAACATTTTTAAATTTTCTCCAAAACTGAGCGAACTGCCACGGAATCGTGCGGTACGGAGCTCTTCGGCACCGTATGATATTTTGTGCGGAGTCGAATGAAATGGGACTGTTTGGCATGTACTAGTACTGTGCCAATAGAATAATAATAAAAACACTGTGCGAGTAGTGTTTCCGTATAGGTAAGCAGTGTGTTTGGCGGTGCTAGACCATTTATATAATAATGCAGTGTTTTTTTGTTTTTTTTTTCTTTTCCCAGCGAGATAAATCTTTCATCTGATTATCATAAGTGGTATCATGCCATGCAATCCGATACGATGAAATAAATCACTGGTGTTTTTTTTCCTCCCTTACTCTCTACGAAAATCAAGAAAATTGGGCCTATGTTCATTATATTCATCATGATCATAAATATTGCAAACAATATATATGCCAACAAAAAAAATATGACCAATTCCCGAAAACATAATTGTCCAGTACGACCTGCACGACCAGTAACAGATGCTGAGAAATTAATATCATATAATAATATCCTAGTTTGATTGAGAAACCCTCGTTGCACTACCTTTATAGTGACAGGCACATTCAGTCTGATGATAACTGACTTGTGTGTTATTGAGAAATATGCAATAAAAACTGTATGATAGCATTTTTTTTTGGCAACGCTAAACACCCCCTCTATATAAAAGTTTTAGATGGAGAAGTTTGTGCCATAAAAAAAAAAAAAACACTTTTACGGCATAAAAGTCGCGCGCCGAACGGGCTTATATATATATACATACTGTGGTGGAAGGAAGGAAGGAAGGAATTCTGTCTTGCTTTTGGAAATTGCTGTGATGATTTATGGTATCATACTTGTGCCATGCCGGATGCTTGGCCGTGCTGAAATAGGAAATACGCTGTAAAAGTAGAAATATCTCTGGCATGCTTAACAGGCTCAAGGTAAAGCAAGGCACGCCGAGCGTTTGTTGTCCGCCAAAGTTCACATTTCTCTCGAGGCCAATTTGGTCTACCCCCTTACCTTGGCTCGGGTTACCTTATCTAAGCCACAGAACAAACATCTGACACCTTTTCAACGACCGCTACCCATCTTCCCTCCACCACCACCTAACCAATGTATCGTGCCAATCCTACCATACCATACAACACGAAACCCTTCCAATTCACCCACAAGACCGAACGAGCGACCGAGCGGGCAAGTGCAAATCTCCAAAATGCAACCACAGCCCTACCCAGAATCCCGCCCAAAACCCCCCCCTCAAACCCCCCTCCAAATACTCCCAGCAATGCTTCACGCAGTGGTAAATCCCCCTATACCTTCCTACAAAATAACCCCCCTAACAAAAACAAACAAACACCTAGTTCTTCCAAACCGCTGATGTCTTCAACACCCCCGCAAGACAACAGCCGGGCGCGGTAATGTACACAAACGCCCAAGTACGCACCAGCATACCAATCTGCAACGAACGCTTCCAGTACGCCCTTGACCAACTGGAGATGGAAATCGTACCTTCCCGAACCCCCCTTCCCCTCCTTCCTGTTTGCTCCACCCTGCTAACTAACTTTTCCCATAGTTAACAGCCAAAGCCGCCCTCCGCCGCGACCTGACCGCCCTCCGTACGGCAGCGCAAGCGCGTGAGGAAGCGCGCCTGGCGGCGGAACGTGCGAGATTGGAAGAGCAGCGGAAGAGGGAGGCGGAGATCGCGGCACGGAAGGAAGCGGAGGAGCGCGCTAGGCGGGAGAAGGAGCGGAAGGAGGAGGAGGAGAGGAAGCGACGGAAAGAGGCCGAGGAGAGGGAGAGGGCTAGGAAGGCTGAGGAGGAGGAGGCCGCGGTGAAGAGGGCCGCGGCGGGACAGAGTGCTGGGACAGTGGTGGTGGGAGGTGGTGGGGCAGGGTACAGTCCCCTCTTTGGCGGGGATAAGGATGGGAAGGAGAATCCTGCCCCGTTGCCCCCTGGCTCGAATAATGCTTCTGCTTCTGCTGCTGCGACTGCTACTGGTGGGGATAGTTATGATGACTTCATGGCCTCCGTGGCCGCTGGTGGGTATATGGATGGTCAACCGATCCAGTTCATGGACGACTTTCTCGGCGAGTTTGGCGACTCTGTGTTTCCGGGAACCTAGAGAGACCTTTTCAAAAACACCCTTTTTTTTTTTAGTTTTCTTGATCTAAAAAAAAACTTTGCATGTAGTGTGCTTGGATGGGCGGATCGATAGGGCTTTTTTTTTTCCGGGTACACACTCTAGATTCAGTAGTGTACCGTGGGCTAATCATCATGCACATTCATGGCAAAAGTGTTTCGAGTGAGATTGTATGTCGCTTTTTCAACACGGTATCGTTTTTTTCTCCCATGAACATAAACGGGAGCAAAATAGGATGAAGGAATGCTGCTAAAATGAGCTAAGCACAAGTAATATTGATATAAAATACAATAGAGCTGATCAATAGTAGCGTCCACTATGGGTATCAACGTTCCGCATTCGCTACACAATCTCATCGGTAGCGAAAGGAACGAATGACCATGGAATCCCAATCGTTTTTTCACCAGAAAAGTAGAGGAACAAAGTGTGTGCTAGAATAAGTCGTAAGAATATCGCAAAAGCTGTCAATTTGATGCCCCCCCCAATCACACCTGTGGTGAAGCCATAAGAAACGGAAAAGAGTGAGCAAGATAAGCAAAACGAAGCATGCCCCCGCCATAGGAACGTGAAGAAACGTAAAGGATAAGTAAGAATGCCTCCCCCAAACTATTGCACAGCTCTAACCTTCCTGTGAAAAAAAACACTCTAAGTATGACGAAAAAAAGTAGGAATATTTTTCACCCGTTGTTTCTTCCCCGATCGCATCAGTTGGTTAGAGCTTTTGGGCCAGGGGCGGTGGGGCGCCTTCTTTGGGTTCGTTACTATCGTTGCTCTTTATGCCATTGAATTTTCCAGTAGGATCTAGACGAACGATCATGCAACTCAAGTTGTCGGACGAGAACCTGCCGAGGGCATGGTCGACGAGCATCTTACTGGCTTCTTGGGGGTCCTGAACCTGGCGGACGAGGTCAACGGCTTCCTGGTCTGAACAGACATCCCAAAGCTATACAGTACTGTATTAGCATTCCTCATAAAGGGCTAGTTAAGATGTGAAACAAACCCCATCACAAGCGAGAATGATAAACTCATCTGCCTCGGGTTGAAGAACTGTCTCGGTGGTATAAGGGTGTCCAGTGACTAGCTCCTTCATGTAGCTATCGCCCAAAGCACGGGTTACGGCTAGAACTCCTGCTCAACCGTAGAAGTTAGTCATTGACACCCTTGAACAGATCTTAGATATCTTGGGCAAGGGGGAACGGGGAACCGACCATTGACACGATTGTTCAATATGAGCCCCCCGGCGTTGGCAACACGTTTCCCTTCATTCTCATCACTCCCCTTATGATCATAGCTCAATCTCAAGGCTTTGCCGCTTCTACAAAGAACAATTCTGGCATCTCCTACGTTTGCAGTATACAACACTCTCTGCCTCTCGGTTTGTTGGGTTGTAGCGGGCTTAGCATTCTCATTATTACCACTCCCATTCTCCTTTGGCGCATCGGCAAGAGCGCCGGGCAATCTCCTTTCCTCCCATCTCAAGACCGCACAAACAGCTGTACAACCGCTATTCTTAACAGGCAGTTTTTCCAGCTGGCCGTCACAATTGGTGAACGTGATATCAAGGAGCTCTGGTATGGGTGTATTGGGATTTTTCCGAATCGTTTCCTCAAGCACCAAATGTAACTTCTTCCCACACCAATCAGCCGCATATGTTCCTGCGTGTCCATCAAAGATCGCAAAGTAACCATTGTCTGAGTCGTCAACTGGCTCTTCATTCGATAGGGAGGAGTCGGCACCAGAAGCAGATGTAGCGGTCGAGGAAGAGGTTCCCGGAGGGTTGGACGTCGAGGTCTGCAAGAAGTTGTATAGGTACGAATGCGTATCCTCCATGGTTCTCCTGCACTTCTTATTCTTGTCCTCCGTCACCCCAACTCTAAATGTACTCTTTGGCCCCGGTCTCGAGTCTCCGGCCGAGTTGTTATGAGGACCAACAGGAACTGTGCTCGGGTCCTGTTTTATGGCTTTCTCGTATTCCTTCTCTTCATTGCTGCTCCCCAAACCAGAGAGCGAGTTCCTCGCAGATGCGATGAACGCCGAAGCCTTGGAGACGGATCCCCTCCTCTTTTTCTCCGGGGGCGGCGGGGTTACCACTGCAGCCGTATTAAGGGGCGGAGGAGCGGGGGGGCTAGTGGGTTTTGCGGGAGGCGATGCCTCCGCAGTATTGGCTGGGAGTGGATTATTATTTCCGAACATCCTGGCGAATAAACCACCGCCGGAGCTGGTCAACGTACGTCTCTTTCCAGCCAGCTTTTCCTAAAGACGGTTTTGGTGGCCGCAGTATATTGGTCCTATCCGGGAACCGAGCTATCCGACTATCCGAGGGCGGGAGTTGAGGGTTTCGGAGTAATGGTTATTGAGCGCTTCGTAGAGTTTGTGCCTGTTCGGTTGCTCGGGCTGGATTAAGCTTAAGCTTATATCCCCACCTCTAATCTACTCACAGCGTGAGGATGTGGATTTACCTTGGTAAAAGGCGATCGGTGTTCTGGGTCCGGGGAAGAAGCGGAGACAGAACCTCGGGTCAGATAACTTGATGATGACAAATGATCTGGGACAAAAGGAGCCAGTCAGTTGTCTACGATACGGTATCAGGGCGGCTATTTTTCGCCTTAGGCGGATGGGTGCGACAGTGTGAGCTGTTACCAATGCGTGTCTTTCCCCTATCCTCTTTGCTTCTAGCTCGCACGTTCCACTTAAAGCTCAGTGCCGGCGAAAGGAGAGTTCAAGGTAGAAAGAGCGTATTAAATGGTGCGAAAGGGTTTTAGGGGAGAGTTGTGTTTGGGGGGGGGGGGGGGGATGAAAAAGGGGCGTGGTTTTTTGCAGTTTAATGGGGGGGGGGT